CTCTAAAAGAAGTAACTTCGGATCGAGTACAATTTTCCAAGAGAGTGATTGGCGTCGTATCCGACGAATTTTACGGCAGAACAGGGACTCTACTGTGCTTCAACTGACACAGATCATCAAGCAAGGCTCTTCCCAACAGATTTCACCTTGAACCATGCGCACAGAATTGCAGAGTATAGGAATGCGTAGTCGGGTGCTTGTGAGAAAAACCACTCACTTCTGCCCGACATGCAGGAATTCCTTTGCAATGTTGTCGGGAAAGAAGACACTGGACATCTCAGGATAGGAAACGGGTAATGTGGTCGGATGAATCAAGCTACGTCTTATTTTTCGCTGATGAAAGACGTCGAATTTGGCGAGAACCCCATGAAGCCATAAATCCATCTTGCCTTTTTCGCACTGTGCAAGGATCTGGTGGGAGTTTCATGGTATGAAGCATGTTCTGCTGGCATGTAAGTGGTGCCCTGGTGTTCCTTGAGGGTAAACAAACAGCCATGAGTTACCTAGATATACCTGGCAGATCAAGTGCGCCCTGAAATGTTGCATTTTTACCCTGATGGCGACGGATACTTCATGGAAGATAATGTAACTATACATCGTTTCAGAAGTGTTCAAATTTGGTTCGCTGAACATCAGTCTGACTTTCAACACTTCCCTGGCCAACGCATAGCCGGGATCTTAATCCCATTGCAAATGTGTGGGATATTGTGGAAAGACGCATCCTACAGCACTCTCCTCTTCCATCTACTTTGCAAGATCTAAAAAGCTGCATAGCCAATGCATGGTATTCTCTGGACGTAAATGCACTCCAGAAGCATGTAGACTCGATGCCCAAACGAATCAGAACAGTTATCCGTGCAAAAGGTGTTCAATAAAATATTGATCTTGGATTTCTAATTCATTTGTCAGTGTGTGTATTTTTGGTCAAACGCTCCATCCCTTATTATGATATTTAAATAACATAGCTGTATCCGTAGAGGCATTCACTATGACAATCATTCCAAACAGCTCACAGCAATAATTTTCGTCTATATCCCAAGACTCGCATCCAAACTCCAAATAATTGCTGATTTATATGTGTTATTTAAACTCAACAATCGATTAATCCTATGTGAGGATTTGAACGCAAAACATCAAGCATGGCATTGCAATTCAACCAGAGTAAAATTAACAACGTTATACCTGCAGGCAACATAAAAATCGCTGCGGGAACCCACCCAACATATTATAGCACTACTTCAACCTCAATAATCGATATTTTCCTAAACAAGAGCATTCAGAACCAACGAAAATTGAAACTCTTGACGAGCTCTCCTCCGAACATAACCCGGTTATTACAGAACTCTATCTTAGTTGTTATAACACACCACACGACGAGGCCTTTGTAAAAGACTGATTTAAAAATACCAAAAATACCAAAGCTCTTAGCAACATGCATTACACTCCCAAAACAATGCAAACCAATGTTGAATTAGACACATTGATTCAAACTTTTATTTCTGACCTAAACACTGCCTTGGTCGCCAATAGCAAACCAGTAAGGAATAATAAAAAAACAAGAAAAAGAATGTAAAACCATTATCCAGCAAAGAAACGCCGCAAGGAAATCTAGGCAAATTTCAAGACTCCCAGGAGATAAAAGAACTCTGAACAGATAACATCGTCAACTCAGGGCTCTCTCAAAAACTTATGCGCGATACAGCTGGGATAACTCACTTGAATCGCTATCTATGGAAGATAATTGGCTCTGGAAAGCAATTCCTGGCTTTCATGAATGCCACAAAAATATTCCTTCCTTAACTGGCCCTCAGGGATCACATAACACATAAACCGAGAAAGTTGAGTCACTAGATGATCACTATGCTTCTGAGTTTACCACGAACGACGTTTCTGATCCTCAAACAGAGCACACAGTTACGCATGTATTTTCTGACAACCAAACACAAACAACGCAATTCTAGTCAACCCTTCTGTTGTTTTTGGCTATATCGATTCTCTAAAGAACAAAGAAAGCTCTGGATTAGAAGCCATCGGCTGCAAAATGAACAAGAAAATGGAAATTCTTGTATTTTCTCGTTTCATCAAAATTATCAGCTACCTCTTAAAACTTCGCTACTTCCCAGATGCCTGGAAAATTACTATCATTAAAGCCGACCAATCAGATTTCTTCATACCGGCCAATCAGCCTGCTTCCTTTCTTAAGCAAGATTATTGAAAATGTTATTCTTCAAAACATCGACAGCTACACAGAAAGAAACAATATTATCATTCCTTCCCAGTTTGGCTTTCGGAAACATCATTCAATAGTTCATTAGTTATACTGAGTAGTTGAAATTATCTCAGAAGGTCTTTGAAACAAATCTACACCGGAGCTGTCTTCTTAGACATAACTAAGACGTTTGAATATGTCTGGCTAGAGGGACTATTACATAAACTCATCACCCTGGGTTTTTCTAGAATACTTCATTTCCATGCTCTGTAGCTACTTAACAGATATACATTTCACTATGTTTGCGAAATTATGTATGTGTTTCATCGCTCGCATCAACAAAACATATTCCACTGAAATAAAAGTTGAGGTTGGCGTCCCACAAGGGTGTTTACTCACCCCAGTACTCTTCAACATTTACGCGAAAGATAGCCCACACGATACTACACTTGCTCTGTATGCAGATTACACTGGGAACTTTACACAAAGTGCAATTTACCTCAGTAATCCAACAGGTAAAAATATATTTATGCATTTGAGCCCTGGCTGAAAGCTTGGAAAATCCTAATAAACGTGTACATGTCAGAAGCCGTAACGCTCAAACCCAAGAACATCCCTGGCTGCATCACAGTGAAAAAAATCTACCATTCCATGGATTAAGCATGTATAATATCTTGGCGTTATCCTTGACATCTCACATTTAAGCCCCACATGCAACTCGTTTGCTCAAAATTTCGTGCTATTTAAGTTACAGTAACCCTCTTAATTGCTCGAAATAGCGTTTTATCTACCGATGATAAAATACTCATTTATAAGACCATGTGGTATCCCATAGTGACTTACGCCCGTCCTGTCTGGGGATATCTCAATAACTGTAATTTAATAAGAATCAAGCAGCTAGAAAACAAATTCCTCTGGCTGATTAACAAATGCCATTGGTACGTAAGAAATACTCCCATTCAAGATGAATTTAATGTTCTCTGTAACTCTGAACATATGAAAAAATCTCAAAAAAATTCTGCAAGTGTATCGAAAAAAATCAACGATCCGAGTATCTCCATTCTTAATTATGATATAAACTTTGCTCAAAATAGCCCTCTGAGCGGCACAGGATTTTAGATCCGTCATGAAGACCGGTATTTAAACAGCATTTATTAATTGAGTTTGTATAATTACTTATTTTAGTCTGTATTTTCACAAACTTACAATCATTAAGATGATATTTACATTATTAAAGAAAATAAGAAAGCAAAATATCTTAAAATTATAAGCTAATATATGGCAGGTAGCAAAAGTTCTGATTGCAAAGCCGGTCATGACGCTCAGAGGGCTAGAACGAAAGCTGAAGCCATTCTTTGGAATTTAAATTGTTTTCTAATAAATCGTATTTTATTTCAACTTTTACTTATTTAAATTACTGCATCATTAATTATTCTCACTGCTCGATTTATTTTAACTTTCATACATACTCAGCTCAACTGAATGCAAAGTAGTACCTCATAGTAACCGTGGACGCCGCCAGTGAAGCATGTTACCTCCCCCCCCCCGTTTCACATCAAATCGCTGGAGGATGAGCTTGAATATTTTTCTCATTTCTTGACCGATGTGCGGAAGCTCACCAATACCTTGACTTTTTGCCATTTACATCTACTACCACATCACCATCTACGAGAGGAACATCACCTACTTTTTGACGAATCCTTTGCTTATCGTTTTCTCATGAATAGAAATCGATAGCGAATGGGTATTGTAGCCTAAGAGCAAAATGTCCAGAAAGAACTAGTTCGAGGATGGATATTTAGTTGCAATTGGAAGGTCCATTTCGTTTCCGAGCAAAGGCTAAGCTGATTTTTCGTGCTACCATTCCTGAAAGCCTAATAGTCTCTAAAAATTTCAATTAGCCAATGAACCATTTAAGCCAGCGTTATACAACAATGTTAAAAAGTATTGAAATTTTTTATTTCAGTGTTAGAAACCGATCATGAAAGGATAAAAGAAAATTTTTAAGGAACACGAAAGCGGGGGGCATATGGACTTTTACGCCAGGCTGATTTTCTTTTATAGAATTTACCTTCAGAATATGCCTATTTTAAGTGTAAAATGCCTTTTTTTCTTTTGTCTGTCTCATATAATTCAATAACAAATGTACTCCCAAATGAGGCAGAAGATCACTAAAGAATTTACTTGGGGGGGGGGGGAGATTGATATATTTTAAGTTCCTCCTTGGGCGTGGCCTGTTATGACCATGAGAGTAACTTGTTGGGTTAGGTGGGTTGGGCTGCGCCCACTACTGATACTGATGTTAAGTTCCTGATTGTTTTAATTATAATAATTGTTATAAGGAGTGTCCGAGTCAGATATTTCCATATGTTTTCTTCGTTTCCCATATCTTGAGAAAAATTATATTGATTTTCCGTGTAAAATACTAGCAAATAGCTTTTGTTTGTTATCCGCTCGTATTTTATAGAAAAATACAATGCAATGCACATAATATAGCTAGAAATTCTCCTCGTTATTTGTGAAATAGGAGTTATAAAAAAAATATTGCGATAAGTTATGCTATTCAGTTGGAGAGAAAAGTTAGGTTTGCTGTGCTAATTAAGTTAGAGTTTTTATACTATGTTCATGATGAAACTCTATCTTTTCACATTGAATGATAAATCCTAGTGAGCCTTTTTTGTTTTATAATCAAAACTGTATGAAGTTATTTTTTTCGTTCACATATCATTTGATTGTGAATGTTTTCGTTTATTGCTCCATTGAATTGAATTTTCCAAAACTATGCTTGTAGGTAAAGCAAGACTTTAAAAGAATTTTTAACAATGACATATGCTTTAAGCAAAAAAAGGAACGAGGGCCTCAAACCAGTGAACCGTCTGTGATCAATGGAAGTGCTTCACAGGAGAGTAATGTAAGTAATGTTTAAAATCACCTAGCTTTAGTTTCCATGAACTCTCTCCATTTCTTTGGATTTAAATATTGAATTCCATTTTCATGAAACGCTTAGCTCGTTTAACTGATTATCGAAAATATCCAAGGCCTAAATGAATCATTCAGTTCTTTTCCTGTTGTATATTACACGAAATAGTAGCCAATAATTCTTGCAAATTGATTTCTCCTTTATTAACATATAAAAAACGTTAGAAAGCGTAAAAGCCTTCAAAAAGTATCGCAAAAAATTTTCCAATGTGTTATGTACATTTTAATTTCAATCAAAAACAACCATTTCCTATATCTAATCATATACATAATATATCAATTGATATATTTGTATCAATATATTAATTTATATGCATTCAATTTTGTTTTATTTAGCATGTAAATACATAAATTAGCAGTCTAATAAATTAGCAGAAAACTAAGAATCCTAGAAAATAATACATTCCTTTGAATAAGAAAAGCGAAGGGTTGTCATATAGGTAAAAGAAACGTATTATAATGATGATGGGCAAAAATATTGATTCTGACGTAACTGGACCAGTGCTGTAGATGCATAGTAAACATAAAGTTGCTATACTTGATATGCTGAACGAAAATCAAAAAAAACTTAAAAAGAAGAAAATTTGTAACATTCTGCTCAAAAGATTCATTCAAAACTTTCACATACTTATATTACCCAAAGGCGGGGAGGGGAAACTATCAAGACATTTTTTATATATAAAGAATGTAAGAAAATTTGGAATGGCGTATAAATGTTATAAATTTGTTGAAATAATTGTGAAATAACGTTGCAGAATAATATTGCCACGATTGGCTGAAAACTGGTTCAACCCCCCCGTGCTGATTTATTTTAATACCCACAATTAACGTCGATCACATTTATATATGCATATCTTTTCACTGTTTTTTCCTAAATATTTCTCTCTCTCTATTTATACATACATGTATATATATATGCATTATTAATATGAATTAATAATGAACATTATTAGTATGAATAAAAAGACTACTGGAATCGAGAACTAGATCTACTTTTATTATTGCTTATTTATTTATTTCGGGGGGGCAGCCGGGCTGCTGGTTCCGTCTTTTTGGTTGGATTAGCCGGTCCTTCTTTTAGTCATATGGCTAGCTAGGTGGACTGGGGGCTGCACCCATTATTACTAATTAATACTAATATTATATATATATATATATATATATTATGCATAAGAGCACATATTTTATTATATGAAATAGATGTGATGTATGTATGAGGAATTTTAATAATTTTCTTTTAACCTTGTTCCAAATTACTTACCACATTACTTCCAACTTACCTGCCTATACATTGTACTTTTTGTAATTTTAAAACGTTTAAATAGATTAAAGTATGAAATTAAAAATTATTACCCTTCAGTTGTTTTTGCATTTATGTATTAAAAAAAGGTTTTTGAATAAGTAAATTAGTTTTTTTATTACTTGGTTATAAGGTATTTATCCCGCTTTCCTAGCGTGCCTTCTTGGTGTAGTGGTTCTGCACGCTGGGACAGTATTCCAGAAGTCCGTGGTTCGATTCTCGGCGAAGGCGGTTGCTAATTTTTCATCTTGCCTGCTTCCAAAAATATACTTAATGTCTCTACATGGTTATTAATTTAGTTTTTAAAATCATACATTAGATATACACATACATAGGTGGATATAGATTTCGTTTTTGCTACTGCGTGTGAATCATACGAACAGAAATTTCAGGTCATGTAAGGGATAATGTAGCCTCAGAGACCATAAGCTGACTACATATTTACTACATATTTTTTTAAATGCTTGCAAAAATAACTGTTTGCAATATTTTTTGTTGAGTGTCATAATGAATAAGAAAATGTAATGTTTGTTCCCAGAATTTGTCTGCTATTCTAAACTTTCGATCTTTGTAGTCAATTTTTTAAGTCTTTGTCATCGAAGTGTGGATGTAGATCCATATAGAGTTGATGGTCTGCTATTGTCAATATGGTTAAATAAAAATGGAATTTCTGTTTGATAATTGTGAAATTTACGAGGCTGATCTTGTGATTTTTAATTTCAAATTCGTTTTGTTGCCAAAAACTCGCCAGCTGAAAAACATTAAAAAAGATATACTGCAAATGTAAAAACGGCAATGAATGGGGTTAAGAAATGTTTTATCAGGTAACAGGGAAAATTAAAAATAATTTCGTCCCAAATATACGGAAAGAAGTGTGTACTGTAGAGACATTAGGTTATTTTGATGCAGGAGACGTGAAAAATTAGCAATGCCCTCTGCGGAACTCGAACATCGGACCTCTCGAATACGCGCCTAGTGAGCTGGCCATTACATCATGAAGACATGCTGAGAAGACTGGAGAAATACCTTATATACTTCCCCTTTTAAAGGCCGACTGTGGGTTAGGGGACCAGATCCTGGAGATGGAGTAACATCATCCGCCACCTTTTTTTAGTTCGGGCGCCACTGTACAGGTATTAGGATTTTTTGGAAGCAGAAGCTTGAAGAAATGTGCAATGCTCTCCCCGGGATTTCTTCCATACAGTAATTTAACCACTTGAATTTTCCGCAGAATAAAATTTGTGAAATCTTCCCCGTTCATTTGGTACCGGCTGTATAGTTTGGCTTTTAACTGTGCACGATTCTTTACGACTGGAATGGCTTTTAGAAGGGCTGTTTAGAAGTTTTGGTACGTGTATGTTGGTGTACCTGGTTCTCCAAGTAGGAATCTGCCGACGCCTTTATACCAACTCAAGGCTTGTCCTCGGAGAACAGAAGTTGAAATCTCCACTTTCTGGATTTTGCCTACCTGGGTACAAAATTAAGCGGTCGTCCAGGTAGTCCATGAATGCTGCTGCTGAATCTTTTCCATCAAATAGGCACTGGAGCCTCATTGAAGCTCTCATGGTGTCGACAATGTAGCCAAATCCTTCCATATAGTCATTGGTGATATGGATGGGGCCAGGTCAACTGTGGAGTTTTCCATGGTTCTAGACTGCCTAGGGCGCCAGTTATGGGATCATTAAGTTATTTTGATGCGGGAAACGTGAAAAATGAGCAGTGCCCTCCCCGAGACTCGAACCTCGGACCTCTCGAATACGCACTGAGTGTGCTGGCTATTACACCGCGAAGGCATGCTAAGAAGGCGGGAGAAATACCTCATAGTATTCTAACTCTAACATGAAGAAAAAATTATAAAAATTACATTTTGGTAAATGAAGGACATTGCACATAAGAATGACACTGCATGTTTGATTCTAAATTATTTTATTATTTACATTCGTATTGTTTGCAAAATTTTGTTTTTCTGTTTTGAATCAACTTCGTTGTTAAAAAATAGGTAGTGTGTCAAAAAAAGGGGAATAAAAAAAGCCTTTTTAACATTAACTCTCCTTTTGATAGAAATTTGCAGTAATTAATCTCCCGCGAATGAAATTAAGTCAAAGAAATGAAGAGCGAATGCGGTCATGGGCTAAAACCGCCTATGCAATTAAATATCATTAGAAGCCCATTCTGGTTTCGTTTCTGCTGAAAATTGCTTTGTTATGTTTTGCTTAAAGCTATTATGAATTAAAATTTTCTAATTAAATTTAAGATGTTAATATTTTATTGGGAGATGAAACCCTGCACAGTGATCCTTCGATTCTTTGAACCGCCAGTGTAACGAGCCATCACTGTATTTAGTTTCTATTTGATTAAAAATAAAATTTCTTTTAATTTCAGGCGCAAGAATTTTGGAGGCTGGGAAAGGAGAAGTGTAACAGCTCTAAAGTAAACACTCCATTAGGTATGACATATTTACATTTTTTAAATATATCATTTAATGCGATATGCTGGAATTGTAGATACAGTTTATATTGATACTTATATTTCATTCAAGATCATTTTGTCATTTATATATAGATAAATAAATGACAGTATTTAAATTTTCATCAAAACAGAATTTGAAAAAAAAAATTTCAACATAAAAAGTAAATATTATAAGTTAGGAATTAAATGTTTCTTTCCGCATAAAACTAACTTTTTCTGTCTTACTTTGTTTCAGTAATAGTGTTGAATGCACAGTAGTAATAATATCATATTTAAAGCGATATGACTCAAAATAATTTTCAAGAATATAGTTTATAACGAAGGGTGTTGGTGTATTTAATTATGGCAAAGCACACGAAGGCTATCTGCTTTAGGTGAGGGATGCCTTCGTGGAGGACTTTCTAAGGGAAACTGGCTCGTATACACGTTACACACGGGGAAAACCACGAAAACGCCCATGCAGTCGCCCGTTCGCGGGATTCGAACCTCGGACCGAACTACCAGTGTTCAGCGTCTTTACCGCTCGGCTGCTGGTGGGCCGCCCTCAAGATCGAGGTACACCTAAAAACTATAAACAGCACGTTCGCACGTATTGCCATACTTTTCAGCCTGAGTTATATTCCTTGGTGATCGCTTCACACAGTTCATTTTTAAATTATTAAAGGTGTAATCTTTATCTTTAAAGTAACTCCAAAGGAAGAAATCCGCCAGTGTCAGGACAGATGAGCGTGCCGTACATTTCATACGCCGGCTTCTTTCGAATTAATAGTACATGAAATTCTCTGATGTATGTTGCCAGATGCATCCACCCAAAACTTATTGATATTACATGTTAATCTTTCACTTGTATATTAACTTAATAGCGATATTTTTTTGTCATATTGCTTTTAATATGATATAACTATTTTTGCGCCGCCCAATGTTTTGTTATATCTTAAACGATATTTTCTTTTTTTATTTCCTAGATTCTTCTCCTGCAGTACCTTCACAAAGCGCAAATAATGAGACTGGAGATCACATGTCACAAAATATGTTTTGGATGTCACGCGGAAATTTACATCAGCAACCAGATTACTATTCAGAAACAAATGCTGTCGAAGAACAAGATGTTACACCTTCTAAGTTTCATACTTCTCAATCTCCTAGACATCAGGATCAATGTCATCACTTTTTCATTCTGTCACAAAAAAATGGGCAGTTTATGGATCATATATATGAGACAATTGATGATGAACCAACAGGACTAACTAACAGTACTACAGTGAAAAGTAACAGTAAAAACTTTCAGTCTTGTCAAAGATCTCCTCCTGCGGAAAATTATTATGGATACCATTCAGATCTCAGTCAGCATTCATCTTCAAGTTACGGATATGATCAGCAACCTTTATTAGTTGTGGGAGGTCAGAATAGACAGAACACAAACCAAACTTCTTACCCAATACCAAAAGAAAACCAAATACAACAATTTATTAAAGAAGAAAAAGTGTTATGGGAAGCAAATCAAAATATATCTTATCATACAGGTAAAAGCTCAACAGACATGTCTCTAAGGCAAAAAACATCTAGTCCAGAAAATTCTGCTAGTTTATTTACTGAAAAGCAAACTCTCCAAAAAGATCCACTCGAAATGTGGGAGCCACATTTGCCTGATCTTTTACAGAGTCCTGCTGATAATGCCGTAGTATTAGCTGTATTAGATGGGGATAAAGTTGTAAGTAGGATACAAGATGATGCCTTGACTCAATCGCACTACAAACTCACCACATATTGTTGAGCTTGACATGTATATTGGCATTCCATCCTCAACAAGTAAAAATATTATTTAGTCCGAACAAATTTCTAGTCAACGTCTGGGCCGTCCTACTTGCATATTTTTCATATTTGTTTATTATTTCATACACATTTTTCCACATAATTTAAATTTTGTGTACATTCGCTTATATATAAAGTTTGACAGTTATGTTGTCTATTGTAATTATATCAAAATCAGGACCATTAAAACAAAATTTATTCAATGTTAGTAGTTAAAAGATGCGATATCTTTCATATATTAAAGTTTTAATGTATGCCCTATTGTTGAAATAGCAACATAATCAACAATCTGTAAGTTATATAATTTGCTCAGATTTTCTTCTGAGAAAAAAAAATTATACATCCAGTTTTGTCTTTCTGAGAACAAGAAATTTAAAATTATTTGATACCTAAGATATCAGAAATCTCTATTTCTAATTAAAACAAATGCATAATTATAGATTTACAGCAAAGTAACTGCGCAACTGTTTGCCTTTCTAATGGTCTCAGATCTTCTAAAGAAGCTCTTGAAGCAGTGTTTAATACTAATAATAAACACCGTATACAAGTTCCCCCTCCCTTATTTGACGGATTAAATACAAGAGTGCTGCCCAAAATCTTTTAAGTGCTAGTATATTCTTAAAATCTTAAATTCAAAAATCTTTTTAAATATATTCTTAAAAAATAGGAAGTTGGGGAATTTATTTTGGTTGCTGAGGAAACCAAAAATAATACTGTATGTCACTCGTTAAAACAAAATAACGTACTTAATGCATACAAAAGTACAGACAAATGAACAAAAGCTTCCCTTGAAATTTATAAAGCATTATAAAATAGATAAATACAGCGAATTCATCTATGCATCGGGGAAAAAAATCGATCCAAAGACCTGATCATTGAAAAACGGGAATCTGTGCCTGATATTTGAAAGTATTTCTCTATTTGACAGATGATTTCAATTAGGGGTTTTATGTAATGTATTCTGAAAATTAATGGTACTTTATTTCTAAATTAAATGATTAAAATTATTATTATTATTTTACTGGGGCTTTTAATGGAAAGAACTTAGTGTTATCTGTATAGTAAACGCTTATAGGTCAGTCTGATATCTCATAACTGAAATATTTTTCAAAATATATCGAATATAATTTAAACGCTGCAAATGTTTTAAAATCTGTTAATAAAGAACTAGAATAAAAAAACAGTATTTTTAAGACTTATAGTAACTGTTGATCTTATTTCACCGCAAACAGTATTTCAGTAAATAGTAATAAAATACTATAGCATATGCAACGAACAATAGGTTACAGGAGATATTATGCTGTTAGAGTCAAGGGATTACGAAAAAAATGCATCCGAAACCGTTAAAAGTGCTAGGAAGAAATTTTCCGGGAATTTTGATGTATTTACATGTTTATTTCTTGTATCTAAAACCACAAAATTTCGTAGTTTCACGAAGGAATAATTCGATTTTAGATTAACGAACTCAAACTATAACAAATGGTTTACGGCTTGAACAGCTAAGACACAGCCGAAATCTCTAAAATTACGGCTAAAACAGCTAAGGCAGAGTCGAAATCCCCTAAAAGATGCTGAAAGAAGTTGAATTTAGGCATAATAAAAGTGAAGCAGAAGCAACAAAAATGTGTTATTAATTATGTTTATTAAATATTAATTTTATATATTTGTAAGCATACTAATAATACATATTTATTAAACATAATAAACCTATTTATTTACAAGTGCATGGCTTCTGGCACCTAAGCTAAAACCAGGCATAGGCACCTGAGCCAAAGTGAGTATTTTGTTAAACCTTAAATTTATATGTACCTTTCTAGCAGACTAAAATGAATTTTTTCACTTTTCCGTTTTACCTATTATTTGGAGAGCGCCACTTGAAGAACATAACATTCAATTAAAAAAACTGATAGGGACACCACATGACTTCCTTGTAGGATCTATTAAATATTTTTAGAACAATAATAAGCTGATACTAAATATTGTTAGATACAACAATAAGTTGATATTAAATATTGTTAGATATTTATTTTTAGACTAACTACAGGTGTAAACAATTTTTATATATGTAATTAGATTTCGTTATTTGACGAAGATTTTATTTATTTTTTTTTTAAATTTGACATTGCAAAAGCATGAATATTTTCATCATTTAAATGTAAGTGGAAGTATATGACTGGGGCCAACGTTTGCTAAAATAAAGGCTGGGTAAGGACTTTTATACTGGGTAAGAAGTGTGGATGTATATATATATATATATGTGTGTGTGTGTGTGTTTGTATGTCTGGTACTCCCGAAATTAGATGTTATAGTAATCCCATATACAAAGTTTCAACGTTCTACGTCTAATCTTTTTTCAGTTTTGGGAGATGCTTACATACAGGCGTCAAGAAAAAAAATCCGTTTTGAATCCATTTTACAGTTGTTTTGGAAAGAGAGTCCTCTCTTCTATACGTGCATATAGAAGTCACACAAAAATTCGTCCAAACAGATTCGGGAACGATCAGAATGGATATTTTCGTTGAAATATGAAACCCACAATTTTTTCGTGATTATTTCGTAGAAGGAAGGAAGGGGAATGCCATTCTGGCATATGGTGAAAAGAGAGAGAATGGAGCAAAAAGGTTTGAGAACCACTGCAAACAACAACATATCACAAGCTTTCACTGTGAGCTCATTCAGTCTACAATATACATAACCATCACTGTTTGCAGCTGACGAGGGAAATTTCATAGTCTGGCCTTCTTCTCCAGATCATGGATGATAAATATTCCTGCTTTGTGGTTACTCTAGCATCTTTTAAGTTTTTCTTTCTAAATCTCTTGCATACATCCAGGTTTCTGAAAAAATAAGATTTCACTTTTATGGGCAAAAATATAACACTTATTTCATTCTCATTTTTGTAGAAAGAAAATTAATTAAATATGCTAGACATTTTTTTAAAAAAGCATTTACACTAGTTAAGTTAACAGATATTTTTAATTGCTGTGATAAGTGCATTTAGTTATGCTTGAAAGTGTGTATTCAGCTTTAATTCTGAACATAAAATAGTCATTTTCCAAAGTCTTTTTTCATTCATGACATTTTGATACATGAAGACGTTTTTTAGATTTCATTTATGGGATATCAGTCTGAATTAACACTCAGATACCATTTGTTGCATAAGCATTTTCAATTTTTAAAACACTTTGAACACAAAGTTATCTTCTGTAGTGAATATAATTTCCTATCTGTAATTATTAGTCAGTCTGTGTAATGTAATTTATAATCGTTGATTTTATCAAGCGATCTTAATTTATGCTGTATGGTTTACAGTCATTAATTATAAACCTTGGTTTTTCAGGCACTAATACCATTTGACCGATAAATGTTATATTTGATTATGTTAGAAAGCATTGTAAAAGTGCATTATGAATTCGTGTAAAGGAATTTAGTATTAACCATATATGCGTTATTTTAAGGAACTTCCTTATTATTCTTAGGTTTATACCTATCTGGTCCTTTCATGTTTCAACTCTGAAGATTTAATAACAATTTCGAAATCCTATGTACTGCATGCGGGAAGTATTCCATTGCAATTCTTCAAGTGACGGTCTAAGAAAAGGGGGCAGGAGGTTTGTTGATGATTATTTTCGTTGACAAATAACTTAATGTATTCATTCTACACAACTGTCATATTGCACAAATTGACACTGTTCTAAGATTGAATGCATAACATCTTATTGTGAAAAAGTTCCTATTTCTTAATAATATTTTTTTAATGAGCAGAACGCTTCAGCACAAAGGTTAGTATAGGTTTGTTAAGAAAGAACTAGAATTAGTTTCAGGATTAGTATATTTCGTAATTGTAATGTAACAGCCACATGGACTTTTATTTAGAAAAAAATTATTGGTTCAAAATATTAATTTTCCATGCAGGAGTTTCATATGCCTCATAATGAAATTATAAAGATTAATTAATACTTTTTATAGTTCTATATGACTATTCTTTTAAATCTACCTAACATCTTATTTTCAAAAAGAATTTTCGTGATTTAAGTTAACTTGCTTTTAAGTCTAAATAATGAAATGTATGAATATTGAAATTCGGTAATTTTACACAAACAAAAAAAACAAAAAAAGAAAGAAAAGAAAAAGAAAAAAAGGACAGCTTTGCATAGTTTACAAAATTACAAAAAGATAACATAGTTTACAAAAATGTATTCTGAAATTCGGTGATTTTGCAAAAAATCACTGACTGTGAAGGTAATTTCGGATTTATCAAGTAAATAAATGGCACTTTATGAAAGAAATTGCGGTAGAAATCTTATTTCGGCTATTATATTACTGTAATTCAGGAAGAAATTGCCCAAGAAATCTTGTTTCGGTAATTAAACTGCTGTCGATATTCTGAATGGACGAGCGAATGCCCTTTTTAAAAAAATTATTATTTCTATGTTTCTGAAATAGAATTCGATGAAGGAGAGGCCCACCAGCGGCCGAGCATTAAAGTCGCTGAACATTCGAAGTTTGATCCAGGGTTTGAAATATCGGCGAACGAATTTAAACATGGTATCGAATGGTATAATTTAAACATGATATATTATCGAATTAATACATGTTAATTAATGTATACACTGTAATAAATAATAACAATAACGGGGTAGGCCTGTTTTTGTAGTTTTCTTCATGTCCAGCGTATATACGAGCGTTTCCCTTAGGAAGTCCTTCACGAAAGCATCCATTCCCTTAGCCCTCGTTTGCTTTGCAACAATTAAATAAACCAACTCAAACCATGATTGGAGAAGATATCCACAATCCTTATAAATGCTTCATTTTACTTACATTTTTCGTACAATTGTTTTTAGTTAAAAAAGTTAATAAGCCACATAACTTCATTTTCTATCGTCTATACGTAACAGTGAACAAATTACCTCTGATTCGCATTCGTCTCACATTATGATGCAATTCAAAATTATTAACGCAATATTTACACTCACAATCGCTACATTTTGAATATGTTCACAAGGCCAAAATAAGCTGGCTTCCTAGTGGATTCTAAATATCTTTACAAAAGCCCTTGTATATCCTACTGTTAGTCGTGTTCAGAATTTAAGCATGGTAATTAATGTATACACTTCAATAAATAATAATAATAACGTGTGGATTGTATAATTTTCCACATCTTAAAACAAAACAGCAGCATAATATTTAATCTTGGGTTATAAAAATGTTCTTGATTGACTTGTACGTAAGGTATGTAAATGAAAAATGGGTTTGTTTGTTTGTTTGTTTTTAAACAGAAGCATTTTTAGTACATTATTCATTTATTTGCTTTGAATAAATCACAAAAAATAATGAAATTCAATTATATATCATATCTGACTTGTGAATTCAATTTCAGACATTCCACCATTTGAAAGAATTATGTTGAAGAAGTTATGAAACTTCATTAAGAATTCATTTTCATATAATTTTATATATGCGTTTTAAGTATTAGAATTAGTTTTAAATATTAGCATTTTGACCTATTTAATAGAAGTAACAAATGAAACAATTTTATATGTTTAATTTGTTTGTTAAATATAATTTTCTCTCATTTGTTAAATTTTGTACAGTTTCCTTAATCTTCTGAAAAAAGTTTGCTCTGTTTATAACCCTTTATAAGTTTTTACTATTTTTTTTATTTTAATCAGAATAATTTTTTGCTTGCCTTTTTTTATTAGACAATAGTGTATTTCACGATTAAATAAAATTACGTTTTCATTCATTATGGGAAAAAAATCAAGTTTTGGCTGCAATAAAGTAATTAGTAAAGGAGAAATGAGATCAGGAAATTCTATACTATTTTTCAAGCAAAATTTTAGTGCTCGAACATATCTCGCCACCGATTACATGAAAGCAAAATTTCATGGCTGTATAGCATTTTATGAATAAAACAAATTCTCATACGGAGAATTAATTCTTTATTATTTGTAACTGCAAAATTGGCCCAACTGGCAATCCATTGATGGTGTTGAAAATTTTCCTTGATTAATCAAAATCTATTGATTTAGCCCAAACGTGATTATTAATTCTGTGTTTTTAAAACTTTGCTGAGAAAAAGGAAAATGTATTTAATATTACCGTTTCTTTAAGAATTTTAACATTTCATAATATCGGCAGCGCTTCTTTTGGAAATTCTATATGCAAGGATGAAAGTATGATTCTCCCCTCTCGCCTCTATTCCAAGATGTCTAAATAATAGAGCACATTATCAAATATTATTTTACTGTTTTAAATTTTTTCTTTGAAAAGAGCGATTGCTTATTCTCATAAATGAAGTGCCGTTTGTGATTTTTTGATGATGTTTAAAACACGTTTTTTTAATAGGTCTGTTTCCATATTCTATTCGGTGGTGTTCAAAATACTGCCGAGAATTAGTTTCTATGAAAAAAATATTGAAATGGGTGAAAAATTATTCTTTTATTTATAATATAAATTTTATTTAAATTTGTATTGTAAGTTGATTTCACACAAAATGTACAATATGTAGGATTGCATTTTCTCTGTTAAATATAATTGTGATACTTATGCTACTTGATTTTTTTGCATTTACAGAAAATATGCGATAAACTATAATGTTCAATATCTCTGTAAACATTAAAATGTCATTGTTGTTTCGGTTCAAAAAGAAATTGGAATAGAGATATAAAATAAAATATAAGTAAATATATCGAATATATATAACTATATATATTGAAAGAAATACTGTGTACTTCGCATAACTTTTTATAGAGAATATTGACTGTATAAAACTTATTTTGTACGTATTCTTTCAATTTGTTTTGAAAATGAATCGGTCAGTCTTTTTGTCAAATTATATTAACAAGTATTTCATTAATTTGAAAAACAACAACACTTAAAATAATTGTGATACTTATGCTACTTGATTTTTTTGCATTTACAGAAAATATGCGATAAACTATAATGTTCAATATCTCTGTAAACATTAAAATGTCATTGTTGTTTCGGTTCAAAAGAAATTGGAAATAGAGATATAAAATAAAATATAAGTAATATAATCGAATATATATAACTATATATATTGAAAGAAATACTGTGTACTTCGCATAACTTTTTATAGAGAATATTGACTGTATAAAACTTATTTGTACGTATTCTTTCAATTTGTTTGAAAATGAATCGGTCAGTCTTTTTGTCAAATTATATTAACAAGTATTTCATTAATTTGAAAAACAACAACACTTAAAAAAACCAATAAAAAGATGAGCCTTTTATACCTGCTGTTGCCATTCATTGTACATTCCTTTAGATAATAATAATAATTCTAATAATTCTGCAGTTTACAGCGTACTGTACTAAATTTACTGAATTCATTACTGTAATTAGTGTTTTAAGATATGCCGTAAGTTGCATTCTTAGTAAACAAAACTGATACCTGTGAGGAATACTTGTTCTTAGATTGAGAACTTTAGATGAACAACAACCAGCTCCGGTTACTTCAGAACTTCAATTTCTGTAACAAAATACAGCCTGGTTGTGATAAAATGTGCTTCCAAAAGATAAATATTCTTCATTTTAATAGCTTATCAGCCAATTCTGTCTTGATTTCAGTACAAGTTTACATTCAAAAATCCAGCGGTATTCGGGCCTGAAAAATTATATATGCTATGCATATTTTAACAGGAAATGATTACCAATATGGTCCATTAAAAAAAGAAAATTTTAAGCACTGAATGAAAAGTAAATTAAATGTTAAGGCTTCACCAACTAAATGAAGCATTTCTGTAGAATTTAAATTCAGTTGAATGAAATTATTCTACAGACTTTTAATTTGACTAAATAAAGTAGTTTAAAGAATTTTCATTTAACTAAAGTTGTGGCATAGAATTTAAATAATTACTACATCTTCAAAAAGCAAATAATTAGAGGTTGGACTATTTGCTTTTTTGATCCACTGATGGAAAAGTTCATTAATCGTGCTGTATTGAAGAGCTACTGTCAAGTGTTTCAGAAAGTATACTACTAGTGTACTACATTATACGGTCAAGTTTTTTTAGCATTCCCACTTTCTCTACTTTTGGCAAGTTTTGTTAGCCTGAATCCATAATGGAGATATACAGTAACAAATAAATGACAAAATGAAAAAAATAAGCATAAATGATTGTTCGCATGTTCGCAAGGCCTACGAGCTCTTTCTGCGGAATAGCGCCTCCAGATAACAGTGACGCGCCAACGTGGTAAATTTGAAAATGCGCTTCTAAATTTATGCCGGAAATCTAAAAGAACTGAATTTTTGATGTCAATCTGTAATATGCATTCGTTTAATAACTTCTCAATTTTTTGCATCCATGAATATGTTTGCACATGTACAAAAGCAACTTAAACTGACCCTTACTTTACTCATATGTCTTTCATTGAAATCATTAGGAAAAAAAAAAACTGGCCCTTCGAAACTATTTGAAAGCAGCTTATAAACTTTCAAAATTTTATTATGGCAGAGTCGTATCTAATATTAGATTTTGTCAAAATCAGTTAGGTGTTGTGTGTCATGCAAGGTGCATTTTGTAATTAATATCTGTATATAAATTCACATGTATTTGTTCAGGTGTAATTCTTGAGTGCATATTTTTGGTCTTTGGAGTTGTGCAAGTATGTTTATATATTGTACTTTACTATTTACATATATGATATGAAACATGACGTTTGATTTCAGGTGCATTTTTTCATGTATGTCTACATTTTCTTCTCCCTTTCCCCAAATATGTATCAGGATGGACATATGTTTCCCATCCCCTCCCGCCCTCATTTCATTTCAGGAATTGTGATTATGCTCAACGTCTAGTTACTTTGGGAAAACTCCTGATTGAAAATCAGTTGTTTTTGCTGCTGTGATACTTGTCATTTCCAAGAAATTATCCTGCTGAAGTTGATATTTGCTGTTTGCACAAATTAATGTTTAATGGCTTTGTACTGTGTACTACTTGCTCATTGTAAATTATTGTTTTGTTTAATTAATGATCTTTTGAAAATAAAGTTTTAAAAAGTACTTTGTTTGAACTTCTACGTAAGTAATCAAATAATTTCATGGCAAAATAATCATTTTACTTAATTTTGAACAAATGAAAGTAAATAATTTATAACTGACGAAAACTGCGAAACCTTTCAAACAGGGAATATTCTGATATCACCGAGCAATAGCCATAGAATATTCCAAATACTGTTGCGAAACGTCCAGCTGCAGTGAGATAGCTTCCACGCAGAGCGGGTTTAAAGTTGCTAGAAAGTGACAGGGTTGCCAGATTTGGCGCGCAATCTCCCATTTGGCGATATTTCGCGGCGAAATTGGCGATATGCCATAGACGGAGCGAAAGAATTCTTGAACGCATTTTTAGCGGTTTTCTCGGGAATATTTTCGAAGGTAGGTTAAAGCTATATATACCCCTCCTGCACGCGGAGAATGTAGTAGTGTGTGAATTCAGAGATTAGCTTGAGAGCGATCGACCGAGCTGAGGGCTCTACTCTACTCTACTTATCCGTGAAGCTGTCTTCACCGTTATAACCTGAAGGCTGTGTTGCTGAATGTTTCAGCGTGTTTATCGTAGTTTTTGGATGACTGTAAACGTGTCTTTGGAACTTTTCTCTGTAATACTGGCGAATAAACTGTGTTTTGATTCTTCATCAAGTGTTATCATGAATTATTCCAAATCCACGAACCCATAGAACGCTATAATACAAATAGCAGACTTTATTAATTTTGGTACACTGCATGTAAATGACATCTAATGTTTATTAAGTCAAGACTTGAAGATCTTTGGACGCATACTTGATCAAAGATTAATGGTGTAACTAAAAAATGCATATGGTTTCTTCTTATTACAGTGTGGGGTTTATCACTGAGTATTTGCAATTATGAGTGAAAACCTTAAGAACTGGTAAGCGAATAATCGCTTGAGTTCAGGAAACGACAAGCGAGAAGGGGGAACTATCCCTCTCTTATTCCAATAAGATTTAACAAAACTCCGTCTTGGAGTGTGCAATACAAGCCGACACTTGGGCTTGAACTTAGGAGACTAAAAAATAAACTAAAACTAAGATTAACTAAAGAGGTATAGCCGAAGCTATCAAGATTCTAATCGAGTTGGCCCTTTAACTCTATTTGACTACGAAGCTTATCAAGGGCCTGAGTACGGCCGAGCATAATAACAGCTTTGAGAGAGAGAGTAGCCAAAAGGCAGACGCGCGCAAATCAGAAACTCTGATTCTCTCTGCAAGTAGGCTTCGCGGTTTAAATACCGCTCCTCCTCATTAAATATTCAGAGGGATTCCAAAACTACGTTCTGGCCGGAAGTAGTAAGTTGAAGTTAAAAATTTGACAGGAAAGAAGTTTAACTCAAAACTTAAATGGTACGCGCAGACACTGGATGATGCGTTACAGACTGAATGTGCTGTGCTATGGTTCATGATGTGACTGAGCGATCCGTCACTGCCATGCGCACATTGTTCCTGTCATCACGTGAAGTGGTGCACTGAGGTGGATGCGATCGAACACGTCGGTCCGTCGTACCCTCCTGCATCCAACGGTCACATATCCGCATTACAGTTGTTTGGTTTCGTCCAACACGACTACCGATTTCCTTAAAAGATAATCCACCCTCTCGGTAGGCCACTATCCTTCTTCTGTCGAACTCGGATACTTGATCAAACGATGATCGCTGTTTACTACGAGGCATAATTGATTGTTTTTTTTGAAAAAAAAAACCACAAGAAAAACACAATTGCCGAACTTGAAATCGTCGAAATCTCCAAGCCTTAAATAGCGCTTTGAAGTAGTTTCGCGTGATGTGCGTCTGCGCTGAAATTCTAACCATTTGCATATCTCACCTCTGCTAATGCATGTTGTAAATCTCATGTTATTTGCATGCTTCCTTTAGGATGTTGCATTTACATTGGCCAGCAATGTACATACATCTCTTCACATACACGTATCATTTCCGCAACACTATATATATAAAATTAAACATGTAACAATAAAAAGGAAAAAAAGAGGGAGTTTGGGAATTTCAGTACTCCAAAACATCATGGGATCCTAGCTACAAATGTATAATATGAAACAAAGCCGACATACTAATTAAGCCTGTAGAGACATTAGGTTAATTCGAAAAGACGGAGAGATGAAAAATTAGCAACCGCCTTCGCCCGGGAATCGAACCACGGACCTCTGAAATACCGGCTCAGTGTGCTGACCACTACACCTCGAAGGCACGCTAGGAAGGGCGGGAGAAATACCTTACATACTCCCCCTTTTAAAGGGCGACTGGGGATTTTAGGGGACCTAGTCGCCAAATCTTGGGTGTGGAGAGTCATCATTCACAACCCATTTAGATCGGGCGCCACTGTACAGACGTTAGGTTAATTGGAAAAGCCGGAGAAATGAAAAATTAGCAACCGCTTTCTCCGGGAATCGAACCACGGACGTCTGAAATACCGGCTCAATGTGCTGACAACTACACCACGAAGGCACGCTAGGAAGGCGTTATAAAACTTCAGTTAATGACTTAAAAATTTTCGAATAAAATACATACTCAAAATTAAATAACACTTTTTAAATGCTTCTAAGAAATCTCTGAACGTAAAGTTAAATATAAAGCCTCCTTTTTAAAGTAACAACTCAAGATAACACATCTTTCCAATCTTGCGTGGATGTGATCATCTTGCATAATGATTAAAACATATTTTTACTTCTGTTCTCAGAAGCACTAGTTGTCTTAAGGAGGTACCAATATTTCTGAGAGTTCGCTGCAGTTATATATTATTCCTCTAAAAAATGGGTTTAAATTTTTTAGGTATAATTTTTAATTTGAATCTTCCAATGACTGATGTAAAAAGAACTAGTTTCTTTTAATGTTCCCCTGCTGAAACATTATGTAGCTGACTTTATCATAACTAAACAATTGACATCCAAATAATTGACTACAGGCTGTACATGGAAATGTTGATGGCACTTTAAGAATGAACGGAACCAAAT